ATTTGAAGGATTAATTTATTAGTCCTGGCTACAATAATCGGAACAATCAGGAGAGTCGTCCTTTGGCGGGGCTGATTGACTCTCCTGGTCCTGGTCCTGGCCGGAGATGACTTCTGGGAGACGTCTGGAGGCGGCTGCCGAGAGAGATGATCAACCTTCCATAGGGCCGTCTATATATAGGAAACGACAGCAGGGTTAAGTCCATATTATAGGGGTTAAACCAATGGGAAGGCTTAATTTATACAATAGCCAATAGCATAAACTCGCCGACATAAAATAGCCGATCAGATAGCCAATAGGATTATGTCCGCTTGAAATAACCAAGTCGTGACACGGTTCGCCGCCATCTTTAATACAGTGCAAAATGAACAAAAATCGAGGCCATCTTAAAGGTATTTGCTACAATACGAATGCTAATCGAGCAAAATTCGACCTTATGTAGGCGGAATTTAACGAAAATGGGAAATAATCCTCCTATTGGTGGACTTAAAAGAACAAAATTTAAAGTCAGACTACCGAACATTTAAAAGTAGTTTTTTATTTTGAGTCGGCGGGATTTTTGGGGCCTCTAAAATCAATCCTGCCTTAGCAATTGTGTGGTTTTAAGGCTCCGTACTAGAAAGACCAATGAAGAGGATGATTTATTCCAATACCCCTTCGATGGGCACCACCTTTCAAACGTTGGCAAACAGAAGGACTTCGGTGTCTTAATAACCTCCCCACTAAAACAATCTTCGCATTGTATAAAGACAGGTAAATGCGCGACATAAGTGCTATATGTGCTAAGATGAGGATCTGTTTAGATCGACAAAGAAATGTTCAGAAGAACCTACGGAACATTTGTTTGGTCCAACTTGGAGTATGCCATCCAGGCCTGGAGTTTGTGGCTTAAGAAGGATTAGCTGCACCTGGAACGAGTACAGGCGATGACTGCGAAGATGATCAAGAATCTTGGTTGCCTGCCTTACGACGACAGACTAGCCGAATTAGATTTGTTACCTCTGAATTGCAGGCAACTACGTGGTCACCTCAGTCAAACCTGCCACATTGTGAGAGGCCGTGAGTGCCTCTTCGAATTGTCTCGGACGTACCATCTGCGGGCTCATCCTTTTAAAGGGCAGAGGAAGCCAGCCTATACGGAAGTTCAACGGAATGACTTTTCAAAGAGGCTCATTGGAGTGTAGAACGGACTTCCTGACGAGATAGTCCTTTTAGAAACTGTTGAAACCTTTAAACGCAAACTAGATTCTCATTTGCTAAGAAACTGTGGTTAATATAATGAATAATGTGGTAATGTGATATAATGACTCACCCATGCGCTGATGTTAATTCTACATTTGTATTATGCATTGTTGTTTAAGTTACGTTTTTCTGTGCTTTTTGGATATGAATAGGCAGCTCAAACGTGAAAGCCTTCCATCCTTAATAAAGTGACTTAAGTTAACGACAG